GTCGATACTAGAACAGCGCACAAAATAATAACCCACAATTTAAATTTAATCATAACATACAAGTGAAACACAATAAACAAATCTTATTAAGATGTTTGCATATCAATTATAGATTATATATGTATATATATTTTCCGTCATAAAATTTCAATTAATTAATATGAGTGTTGGTACAATACTGATCTATATTAAAACATTGATACATTTATATTAATCGTGTAGGCAATTCATCCCCTTAATAAAAATACACAGCAAATGTTATAACAAGGTTGAAACATTTCTATGACACTATTACCAACTCAAGAACTTAATTTAAGATGTGAATACACAATAAAAATAAAATTATGTAAATTCTAAATATTTGATTCCGTAAACTAGATTAAACATCCTTTATAACCTTAAATATGTTAGTTAGTTATTTTATATAATATTATTATTTATATTTTATTTAGGTGCACTTGAGAAGCCCTCAAAGGCCGGTGCGCACCCACTAAAAATGAGTTCATGGGGTGCGATGACTGCTCTTTTTGGACGTTCCGTAGGCTCGTTTTATTCTATAAAAAAAAAATGGCTGACTGTATCCGTAGGGTTGATAGGTACTTAGGTAGTACAGCTTGCTAATACATATACTACATATAATATGCAGATACTCCTAACATTTATTACATATAAACACACAAGTCTGCAATCAAGCTGGCAATATTTGACTGCAAATATTTATTTGAAGCACAAAACCAATGGTTCGAATTTTATAATTATTTTGCCGGATACATTTATCGTGAAAGCCTTTAGGCTATCATGATAGTACTAATGGAGCAGTCAGTAATATTGTAAAATCGGGACAAATTTTTTGAGAGCTTCCGCTGCGGGTAAATTTATTTCGTAATCCTACATACTTAAATTTTATACATATATAAAAAAACAATTATACTAAAGATATTGCCAGAGATAATACATACAAAAAGGTTCAAACGTTTACGAAAAGTAACCAATAAAAAATATTAAATACATTTAACTAACATACATAGTTTGGCTGTGTTGTGTGGTGGTGTGAAAGTGCGTGTGTAGGGTGTGCTAATGATGCAGGTGATTTAACGCTATTAATACACATTTTAAGCGTATTCTGCGGTAGCTTAAACAAGTCAAGGCTTAAACAGTGGTTGTTCTTTAAAAGGTCTAAAGAAAAGTCTTAGACATATATTTATGTCTGTCATAAAATTGATGCCGTGGCGCCGCGTCGCCTCGCTATATGATGGTCTATATGCAGTAGTGTGTACGGTGTGTGTATTTCTAAGTCACTGATTAAACGAATTAAGTAGTCACGATTTGAAATAAATTCGTAAATTTTTGTATTTAATGAAAATAAATGTTTATTCAATAAATAGTCATCGTTATCTGGAAAAAAATCGTAATATTTTATTTTATCATTATGACATATTTAGTTCCTATCACAATCTGTTCTTTTCTGCATATTACTTTTACAAAATAATGTCGATGTTTCACATCTGCCAGGCGTCCCGTGACGGCTCACATTTTTTATTTATTTATTTATTTAGACTTTACAGTTACCATAATATACAAAAACATACATATAAAAAAACAAAAAAAACAGGTTACATAAGTTATAAGGCAACGGGCGGTCTTATCGCTAACAAGCGATTTCTTCCAGGCAAGCCTAATATGCAACAATAAAAAAAGAAACACCTACAGAGGGAAAGTACATTAATTGCATAATTAATTTATAAAAAAAACTCAAAATAACATGTAACTACAACTAAAATAAAATAAAATCTAAAGAAAAAATTGTTTTAATTATCAGGAAAACTGTTTTGAGTTTAATATTTATCCTTGTTTAATTCTTTATAATGATTTTATTTACCCAAATTGTCTATAAGCTGATTTGATTTTAATATCTTAGGAGATATCATAGTATGACATTGCAACACAGCAATGATAACAAGGGCTATAATAATATTATGTTGTACAGTAGTGTGAAACCGCGGGACAGAGTTAATGCTACATACATATTACATATCTTAATATACATAAATTACGTGTCACGTTGTTTGTCCGCTATGGACTCCTAAACTACCGAATCGATTTGAATCAAATTTTCACACCGTGTGCAGTTTCATCTAACTTAAAAGATAGGACCTTAGAGATAAATTCAAGGAAATTAATATACTTACCTTTCCCTCGCAATATATTTATGAAAATATTATGTATGAATACAAAAATAGTGATAAGTTTACTAGAATAGAACATACGCACAATGTTAATACACGGAACAAACGCAGGCTGCAATTTCCCCGTACTAGACTATCTAAAGTTAGTAATTCTTTTTTGGGGAAAGGGATACTTTTCTTTAATAAAATCCCAGAGGCTCTTTTATCTCTGCCTTTCAATAAATTTAAGAAATGTATTAAAGAAAAGCTGTGTAAAAAGGCTTACTATAAAGTCAACGATTATCTAGTTGATAAAAGGGCCTGGGACTAGTGCTAGACAGGCTACTTCTAATTAATTTGCGATATTTGTTTTAAAATAAGTGTTGTTTGATGATTTGCTATTTTAAAAGAGTACCGAGAGTTTTTTACGCCGGCTTTTTCTCTCGGCCTACACCCTCTGTCTTCTTTGCCGATGAGTAGGGATGCCTACAAATTCAAATTTAATGACGTGGAATAAGTGATACATGTATCTTATGTTCCATAATAAACATATTTTTATTTTATTTTATTTTAGGATTCCTTACATCTCAATTTATATTATTTTATTGCAAAATATTTGTTTATTATTTGATAGTCACAATTCTAACAGATGGCGCTGTGTTGAAAGTACCAACGTTTCACATAAGCTACAATTTAATGGCATTACCACCAAAAAAGCATGGTGGCCCCATGACTGCTGTCCTTCTACCGTTTCCCTTGAATAGTTTGCTACTATGTAAAGAACAAAAACCTTAGCCACAGCAACGCTTGGCCGGTCCGTTAGTAATATATATAACTTCATGTAATTATATATTGTTGGATAAAGGTTTTGTGAAATGCACTTACTTAGCAACAAATATAAAAAAATCTAAAAGTTTAAGTGCACAGGCGCTAATTAAAGATTTGAGTTGGCACCTGGTACCTTTCCTCAACGATATACAGTAAATATAATACAGTGAGGAAATGCTAGCATTAATGACACTGCCACAGGGGCCAAACTATAAAATTTAGTTTTTATGTTCTATTTATTAATTTTTAATTATAATCAATTATTATACTATGAAAATTTAAACAAAAATATATTGTTTACTCGTAATCCTCTAAATTCTTTGTTATGACACTGTTAAAACCTCGCTCATTCGTTTTAATATAAGCCGATTAAATCTTAAATTTTAATAAAACCTTTAATTATTAATTGACTCAATACGTTCTTCGACATCAAAATTCACCCCCAAAATATGTAACAAAGGCATGCCAATTCAGTTGAAATTCAGTGAGTGAGGTCACGTTGGCGTTCGGCCGATATTCGTTCGGCATTGGGCGCCACGAAGGCGCGGTGCAACCGACGCGCGCAGACATGCGTGCGCCGCCCCGATCGAGTTCCATGGCCAGCAACCACGCTGCGGACCCAGCCGCCACACTGCCATCGTATTAACCGTTCCTGGGGCTACTCCGCCGCGATTTTATAAACGAGTTATTAGTGCGATGTCGACACCCCTAATCGATAGATCGTAAACAGTTTTTTCAGATTTTGTTGCGCGTTTCCCACGGTCGAAGGGTATTTGCTTGTGCATACAAATTGGTGCCGTCCTGTGCTTAGTTAATAGTGATAAGTGTACATCGGCGGTTTTTACGTTATTTTCTTTGCGCGCTTGGGCAATCGTTGGTTTTTACCTAATTTTTGCATTCTTTTGCTATTTTTGTGATAAAACGCAATCTATGCTCGGAGCTATGACTACCATGGTATGGTTTCCTTTGTCTACGTTTAAACTGTAGTTTCATAGTCGAATATAGAACTCATGGATACTTCTGTTTGACAAAGAATATACGGATTTTCTTAAAGAAAAAATGTCATTACGAAAGAAAAACGAAAAACACAATGACGGCTCTTACTTTAAAACAATGTCAACAAGAGCTGGAACAAAGACACTTTACATCAAGACCTGTATAATCTCTCGCTAGATAGGAAACATGCTTCGTCTAACTGTTTAATAGTTTTAGATTAATTCTGTAGTTTTAGCTAGAATAGCTCATTATACCCACGTTCTTGAAAACTGTGAAATACAATGAATGGTCTGTATTACGTAAACATTTCGAGAATTACGTAAGTTTTCGTAGTGAAGTTCTACTTGAGTCTAAGTACTTCCTTTCGCACTAGACCTCAGTTGAGCTTTTAAATATTGTGTTGCCGTCTTTTTTATTCTCTCAATGCGTAGTGTATCAAGCTTTTATTCATTTAACTACTAGAATACATTGTATCATTTAAACAGCTAGTTATTTGAACTACGCAATTAGATAAGACGTTGAAGATTTTTAATACAAAAGTGTTTCTAGGGAAATACGTTAGGAATAAACTTTAACTTTCAAAAGTAAAATTGAAGCCTAAAAAAGCTAAATAGGCCGTCTACCCGTTGACATAGTGTTGAATAAGCCCCGGCCTCGTTTCTCCCTTTCAGCCTCTCCAAGCTTACAACGCATTATGTATCTAGGCACAGTAACCTCCTTCAGCTATTAATTTTTCAATCCTTAGTTACCTGTTGAACTTCCAACCTGACTAGTTCTTGCACGAATACGGCTTTGATCGTTCGTAAACCATACCATAGTACATAAAGATTACTATTAACGAAGCGAGACCGCACCGGAATCAGACGCACGAGTTTCGTCAACCACGGCTCTATGCAAAACACGGCAATCGCCCTGCTGGAGTCGGCGTCGGCGTTCGAGAGGGCAGTGCTGGAATGTGAGCACCTGGAGGCGTCCGAGCACGGCGGGTTCCGGTGAGAGCGTTGGCGCGCCATGGAGGAGCGACCGCCGGACGTACCGCTAATCGTGACGCCGCCGTGCGCGGCCGTGGCGGCGGCGCTCACCTCCCGGCGCGCCGCGTCCGCGCGCAGCTCCCGCGACGAACCGCCGCCGTCCACATGGCGCTCCTCGGTGCGTGTGCGCGACACCAGTTTCCGCGGCTCCCGCAAGAGCGTCGTACGCCTCGAACCGCCCTGTAATGGTCTCAACGGGTTGCCCGCCATCGGCAAGGAGGTAACTCCCGATTTTCGTGTCTATTTTGTTCGGATATCGAGCGCGAGCTTTGGCTTATGTCGGTGTTATTAATTTTGCTTCCGCGTTCCCCTCCTAGCCGACCACGATGGGCTTCAGTTTAGGCCAGGTTTAAATTGCGTTTAAGGACTAATTATTAGACGTAAATCGCGAATTTGTTAACGACACAACGCAAGGTGTCGAGGTCGTACGACAATCAGAATTGATCAATGCAAATAGTATATGATATTGTCGACACTTGTAGACAATCACAGACTGGCATAGCATGAATAGAGAGAGATGGACATAGTAATATAATATGTATTTTAAAGTTGCAGGAGTGTCGTATATGAGGTAATAACAAGAGCATGAAATCATCAAATCATTTGAGGTGCGTGTTGCGCATGAGTTTGAGCAAATGTTTTCATGAAGACACCGATTAAGACACTGCAAAGTAGTTCATATAGAATCGAAGACTGAGTAGAATGAGACGTAAAACACAAATTTTCAAAGGAAAATTTTTGTTGGCGTAGCATGGGTTATCTAATATATAAAGCATGAATGAAAAGTTCAATTGTCGCGTTCTTAGTAGAAGAAGTTAGGTAATGTAGAATGCATTTAGACCAATAGATATTTTTAAACCAGCTTACAAGAGTGCGGTAAGTAGACTCTTGCGCATAAAACAGTTTTACAAATAAGTTCAGAAACATTAAAATCGGTTATTATTACCATTTTTTTATCACTTTTAAAACTAAACAATTAACTTATTTTTCGTCCTTTAACAGGCTTACCCCATAAATTCAATTGCAGTTCGAATAACCTGCAATTAGTTCATGAAAACCACTTAACATAGTATACACCGCAAGAAGTCCAGTGGTGCTATAACCGCTGATACATATTTGATCACTATTTTTATTTCGTCAATGTAATATGATGAATTGTTTGCAGGTGCTATCTCTTGGTGCGACAGGTGGCCACAAGGGAACGACCACACCTTCCCACCCCTGTACTATCCTCCACCATTCTCCTTATAAGGTATGTATTATTTATTACAGGGTCTAGGCTCCGAATATGATTTTGTCCCATTCGGTGTGACCTTTGGTCCGTGGGGTCCTAGTGCTATAAGGCTTTTTAAGGAAATAGGTTAGTCGACTTCACAGCAGACCGAAGAGCTAGCAGCTACCTCGGACAAAGATTTAGGCTAGCTATTCAAAGGGCGAACGCTGCCCGTATTTTTGGAACCTTGCCTAAAGGGACTCCTTTTAATAATTTATTTATTATGATTTTATATATTAAAATGTTAAGCGATGGCTTCAAAAACCTAACCTAACATCTTGGAACGGCTAAAGAAAACTTATCATAAAAATAATACAGCTAAAACCCTATATCATGGCTTCAGATTGCATCAGTTTCTTCGATAATTTCATTTCAAACACTAGTAGGAGATCAGTCATCTGTCTATATGCCAGTTTCCTTACGATTTTGTACTTCCACGAATATTTAAATTTTTCATTAAATAAGCTTGTCCTTGAAAAATTAAGTCCCTCGGTCGAGTCTGTGTATCGCGTTTATCAACTCACAGAGTATGAATAATTTTACAGTAATTAAAAAAATTAACTAACAAATTTGGATGTATAATTATCACTTTACATATAAAATTCTCGTGTCACAATGTTCGTTCCCATACTCCTCCGAAACGGTTCGACTTATAATTATTATACGATATTCTTATGATTTTTTATGCATATTCAGTAAGGCTGAGAATCGGCTACTATCTATATTTTACCCCTAAGTGATAAGGAGTGTCAACCCCAAAAAAATAATTTTAATTTTTTTAGACATATTTTTTGTTTTTATTTTTTTATGATACTGCATACAAAAACACATATAACCCCTAATTTTCACCCCTCTACCATCAAGCCCTATTTTTATTATTGTTTGTTTTTATAGTTATTTTTATTGTACAAAAAAAAATTTCCTAGAAATAATATACATGGCAAAACAACGTTTGCCGGGTCAGGCAGTAGATTTATATAAATTTTTTAAAGAGGTCTATGACAAACAAATATAGTCTGTGTATCTTTATTAACTGTGTCCTTTACTATTATTAATAATAATAATAATTTATTTATTGCAAGAATATGCTACAAAAATGTTTAAGGTACAATCGTAAGTTCGCATATTCTGCCACACACAATGGCGCGCAAATTTGTCTTTAAGGGAATTTTACATTTTACATTATTAGTCAATTCTTATATTATTTTATGTAATATAATTATTATTTTTGTGGTGATCCCAGAATCTTGGCAAAATACGTAAAATCCACGCGGATAGAAGCTTGTAAAATACACATTCTATTGACTCGAATGGTCCGTACATTTCTTTCGTGGATGACCTATTTAACATGAATATTGAACTAAAAACTTGGCCAAAGCATGAATAAAAAATATTTGTCGCAACATTTTCAACACGCAACACGCCATTTCCATACCAATTACAAAGGCTTGTTATTTAATGATTTCATGGAAATTAGAAAATACGTTTGCAGGATTTATATGTGTTCAATTAGAAATCAACTTTAAACAAATATAACTGACGACTCATTGGTCTAGTGGTTAGTACCCCTGACTGCGAATTCATGGGTCCCGGGTTCGATCCCCGGCTGAGACGAACATCGATGTGATGAGCATTTGGTGTTGTGCTTAGGTCTTGGGTGTTTAAATATGTATTTATATGTCTATCTATGTATAATATGTATGTATATCCGTTGCCTAGTACCCATAACACAAGCTTCACCAGCTTAGCATGGGATTAGGTCAATTGGTGTGAATTGTCTTTAAAAAAAAAAAAAAAAAACTCAAATATTTTCCATCACTATTCCGAAACAATTCGACTAGGGTCGTTCCAGAAGAGTGTACCAATTTTTAAAAGGCCGGTAACGCAGTTGCAAGCCTGAGGCAATGTTACTGTCCATGGGCGGATTTATCTCTTAACATCAGATGAGCCTCCTGCCCGTTTGCCCCCTGTTATATTTATCATATAAAAAAATTCTATAATTAAATAATATAATTAATATAATGCCAAAATTCAAATTATGTACATATTTGTATATTAGAATAAAAATGACGATTGTATAAACTCTAAAATAATAATAAACTTTATTTATAAATAAATTGTTTTTGATAAATATAACATCTATTCCGTGGCACAAAGCCATTAAAACAGAAATACTATTAATGGTATATAAAAGACTTTAAGTATGCGTGTGTAATGTGTATGTGTATTTAAATGTGTGTCTGAGAGTGTGGATGAGGGGTGTTTTAAGTAAGCGTGCGTGTTAGTGAATTTATTAAAGAACTTAACAGCAGAGCACAAAACAATTGTAGTTCTAGTACACACAATAGTTCTATACTTCCTGATAGTTACCTACCTACCTACCTGTTCTCTTTATAGAAAGAGAACAGGTAGGCTAAAAGCGAAACTGTACTGTTCTGTACCAGGCTTCAATTGTTTTACGTCGTCGTCGCGTAATTGTTCTCGTGTCGCGGTGTTTGTGGTTAAACTCCTCCAAAACGGCTTGACCGATTCTCATGAAATTTTATGTGCATATTGGGTATAACTGAGAATCGGACATCTATTTTTCATCCCCCTAAATGTTAAGGGTCGTCCACCCCTAATTTTTTTTTAATTTTTAGATAATTTTATTTTATGATACAGCATTAAAAAATACATACATCCCCTAATTTTCACCCCTCTACGATCCACCCCTATTTTTTATTATAAATGATATACATTGCAAAACGACGTTTGCCAGGTCATCTAGTAGACCTTATATAAACTACTGAACTCCCTAGATCTAATACTTTTTTTAAACTATTGTCTGTGCTACCAGAACTAAAAAAAATTGTGCTTTGCTGGTTAGTGCTCTGCTAACTTGACAGACACTGTTATATTATTATTTCTATTTAAAAAAAAAAAAATTTAAAGTCCCTTGATATAAAATATGTTATCTTCCTAAGTTTATTTAAATTTAGTGAGTGAAATAATAAGTGCTTTTCAGATGCCTCAGAATTGCTCTAAGTTCGGTACTGGGTAATAGTCTGCGGCCTGTATCAGGCACAGAAGGTGTTTTTTCTAATAGACAAGTAGGTGATCAGCTACTTGTCTATTAGAAAAAACAAATCACGACAGATAAAGAATCTGAGGCCCAACCCTAAAGGGTGTAGTACGATTGTTTAGTAAGAAACAAATACGTGTGCAACATCGAACTGCCACACTTTGTACATGAAATTAACTTGATTTTTTAATACCAGCGATAGCAATATAATTCAAAATCTTAATATACGTACATAAATTACGCGTCAGGTTGTTTGTCCGCTACTTAACCGATTTCAATCAAATTTACACACCGTATACAGTTGGATCTAACTTTAAAGATAGAATAGCTTACATTAATATATATATATATATATATATATAATTCTACTGTACGTGTGTATGACACTGAACTCCTCTTAAACAGCTGCAGCGATTTGAATGATTTTTTTTGTATGCTCGGGTGGAGCCCTGGATGGTTTTAGATTCACAAACCAGTCCGGCAGATGGCGCTGCAGTCGGTACTTTCATACTTAGTTTAATATCCTAATCGCTTGAAATATCACGCAGGACAACGTCTGTCGGATCCCCTAGTATTAATATATAAATTTATATAGTGTACATCTTGTTTCAGGCCGCTTGGGATTGGTTGATACTAATATTAGTGATATACACAGCAATATTCACACCATACGTGGCAGCATTTCAACTAAACGAGCCGGACTTCGACAAGCGTTCTCGGGGTTTTGGCCAGGATCCTATTGTTATTATTGATATGATAGGTAAATATACTTAGTATTGTTTGTTTAAAGGCTTTTCGCTATTATTAGTACTTGGTACTCTGTAACTCTCAATGAAGATAGCTAATTGTATTATGAGTACCGCAATTGCAAATTTCCTAAATGAGGAATGCATTGGGTTCTAATGGATGGATGTTTTATAATAACAGTGCTGGCCGATGAAAAAATTATTTAGTACTTGAAATTGAGGGGGAATTACAATGTCCTGGAGGGTTTTTAGGCGGAACATTTTTAAAGGATTATTTACGAAATTTGATTGTTTTTCTTAAAAAACGAACGATCCCATACAATTTAGATTAGGATTCGAACCCAACAAAGTAAACCAAATATAAACTCCAAGCATGACTACGACCGAAATATCAAAAAGCTATAAGATCGAACTATGTATCCATATAATAAAGGCGCTGGCCGATAAAAAAATTTTCGTCACTTTTTGCCGAAATCTTGAATTTGATGACTATGAAAGTTCCAATACTTATCAGAATATAAAAATAGACAGAACAGACTAATTTTAGAGTAATGTTAAATAAAACAATGACACTATTCTAAAATAGGTTATCTAATACAAAAAGTTGATAACAGAAATAAATACTAGGTATTTAATTTAGCTAATGATGATTCTCAAAACCTCCGACAACAATCTCGAGAATTGGCCAAAGAAACTATATATAAAATGGCAAAATGTCAGGGAAAACAAAATATTTTATTAATTAAAACATAAAACAGAAAATGTATATACCTTCTTTCGTTCTTCTTGATAAAGAACTAATAAAGCTCTCTCTCATTACAGTGGATGTGACCTTCATCATTGACATCCTGATAAATTTCCGCACCACCTACGTGAATGTTGCTGACGAGGTGGAATCTGATCCAGCCAAGATCGCCATGCACTACTTACGTGGCTGGTTCCTCATCGACCTAGTCGCTGCAATTCCATTCGACCTTCTACTCTTCGGCACCGACACCGACGAAGTGAGCAAACCAACCCATCCATTCTTATCACACACTACTCGTAGTCAAGAACATGCCTGACTCTTAGACCTGCTTCCAGGTTATCAATTGTCCGAATTCATTTTTGTTAAAACAGGAGTAGGAAATACATTTCGGACAAATGAAGCTCTGGACCCTACACTAGTAGCGGAATGCATATAACACTTAAATTCTAACACTAATTTACCATTCACCAAAAATGTCCAGTTAAATCATTCTTTATTTAAACTGATTCCCATGTATAAAATTTATTTTTATTTTCGGTGAAGGGCCCAAGGTGGGTGCGTACTGAATTTGTATTACCATTTCTTGTTACAGCAGGGGCTGGAAAGTGATGAGGTATAGCATCTTTGTGAAGTATTTTTATGTTGCTGCCACTTTACATTTTAGTTAATAAATTTCTAATAGCCGTAACTAAACCACCTATGAATGCGTTAATGGAAGAATGGGACGCTTCCAAAGCAAAAACGTATGTTTTAAATTTCACACTGCGCTCTAACGCTCACTCGCAATTCACGAGCTTATCCACAAAGGAATAACATAGGAATGCGGTACCCGTATGAATAGTGTAGAAGCTTACAGATTGAGAGATTGAACGATCTTAATGAAAAGACTGGTCGTTTTTCAGGACTGTCTTTAACGCAACTAATCAAAGTGACTTTTGATCATAACATCTTCATAAGCATGATATTGTATATACGAACTGAGCAGTTGAGAATATTAGCCAAGTATTTGAGAACTGATAGACAAAACGCTTTGGTATGCAACGAAATTTTGGTAGTTAAAGCAAATATTCCTAAAGCATTTCATAGTAAAGTGCGTAACACGAAATGCACAAAGCTTGGTAGCGAATACTCACACTTCCCAGACGAATATTTTGTACAAATCAAAAGTTGCAATCACAACATGACAAGCACGAGATTTCAAAACATTATAGCACCCACCTTACATATAAAACAATTTAAACCATTCATAATTAATTTCACTTAAAATTTGTTTGTCGCGTTTTGTCTTAAAATTCTGTTAAAACTTGAAATTTGTTAAAAATTAAGTCATCTAGATAGTAAAAATTGTTATTCTAAAACTGACAATAACTTCTAAATATTTTATAAAATAAATGTTATTTATGTTCTTATCTGTTTTTTAATTTGAAAAATGCTAAACAGAGATTTAGTAAGTATTATTTTTTAATATTTTCGTTACACTGTAGTTATAAAGACATTGTAAGTTAATCCCGCTAGAATCCCAACGATAATTCGCTGAGGTAGGCCCACATAACATGCATTCGTAAATCTAGATAGTAGGTAAAATTAATTAAAATCCCGCACTGCTGAATCGTAGTAAGAAGTGAATTGAAAAGTATATAGCTTAGACAGAGGTATACCACTTGATCTAATGTTGAACTACGAATGCACTGCATATCAGGAATCGCTTAGTTTATGAAAAGTATGGCTGATGATGAAAGTAGTAAGATTTCGCTTGAAGTCTCGCTAGGCCGTTGCAGCTGAATAGTTATGCGAACAATGCTTGAGTTCGTGCTTGCTTGTATTCGAGAAGCTTCTTAAATGCTTTTTTGGTTTTGCAGACAACTACCCTCATTGGTTTACTAAAAACAGCGCGACTGTTGCGTTTAGTGCGGGTTGCAAGAAAAATTGATAGATATTCTGAATATGGCACCGCCGTCCTCCTCCTTCTTATGGCCACCTTTGTACTTATTGCGCACTGGCTGGCCTGTTTATGGTAAGTACGAGATACAGGCGCTAATTCTGATGTACAACTCTCTCAAAAAACTAATCAGTAAGAGATCCAATTCTAAAAAATATCTGATAAAAGGATCGGTAACTGTGTAACTGTGTCGTTTTTTTGTCGGATAACATGACTAAAACTAGAACTGTGTACAGTTTAATGTGTCAAAGTCAAAGTGACAATGGTCACCGTTTGATTGACAACACAATTGGTTAAAACATTTGGTCTTGATCAATAAAAGTTTTGTTTTTAATTAAAGAAACGCGTAAAAGACGTGATGAGATGTGAAGTTATTTCACTATGATTAATTTGAGTTCTATTAACTCCACGGATTTGTACATCAGAATTAGCTATTTTTGTGGTTACTTTTTAAATAGTAGCTACCCTCACTAATGTTTCTTTTAGGTATGCCATCGGAAGTTGGGAAAGACCTCAGCTGCACGCTCCTATCGGCTGGCTCGATGCTCTAGCCAATGATGTGCAAGCGTCCTACGATAATTCCACTGGACCTTCTATGAGGTATATATTATTATTATATGAATTTAGATCTAGAACAAAAATACTCCATACTTACGTTTTCTGTATAGGATATATTCTGTCCCATCCGTCTGCGATTACTAAATTTATAGTAAAGCTCAAATTAAAGGTTTAATTATAAAAAATATGTCCCCTATATTTTTTTTTTGTCGGATGAGAGTCGCACCACAAGCCAATACTGCTGATATTACCAATCACAATCTAATAAACCACGCCGTCGTTACGTTTTACGATGATCACGTGTTTCTTGTTTTAGGTCCCGATACATTACAGCTTTATATTTCACATGCACTTCATTGACCAGCGTTGGTTTTGGAAATGTTGCACCTAATACTGACATGGAAAAGGGTTTTACGATATTTGTTATGCTCGTCGGATGTAAGTACATGCTTTAAAGATATAGCTATTAATTAACATAAGTCAACTAATGCTATTCAGCTAGAGAGTCAGGTGTATAATAATAATAATTTATTTGCAACAATTTGGTACAAAAACGTTATGGTGGTACAATTTAAAGTTCGTATATTCTGTCTCACAGTATAGCATGCAACTTTGTCTTTAATGATAGAACTTTAAAAAGACGTTACAATTACATTATGAGTCATGCCATTATAGTCCATTCTTATATTATTTTATCACATTATTAAAATTCAATTCCGTTTCAAATTAATATTATTTATAATGTTTCACACAAATAATAATTAATAGAATAATATTTTTTTTTCCAAAAGTACATCAAGTCGATTTTTAAAAACTCTAAGGCTGCTGCCTCGAATTTTGCGGGCAGCGGGGCGGCGGTAGCTGCGGCGCGGGAGCGGGTGATTGCACCTCTCGTTACCCGCCCTTGCGCCGCTTCCACGCCGCTGTTTTCGAGAACCGGTCCATTTGATTTTACGCATAAGATCCTGCCACTCCCGCGCCGCCGCCGCGCCGCTGCCGCCCCGCTGCCCGCAAAATTCAAGGCAGCAGCCTTATACAGTCTTTAAATGTTTTTAGTAAATTTCTAAAAACCTTGATTGCCATACAAAAGGTGGCATAGTTCTAATGTCTCATATCATTCCTGTTTTGCCTGATTTGATTAATTCAACTTTGGAAGCTACTCAAATAGAGAATATATTATAAAATATATTTTTTTAGAATTGATCGATAATAATACGCTAATTAAAATTTAAATAGCATATTATATATTATTTTAGCATAAGTGTATGTGTGTATGTACTTACAAATTGTGTGTATTAACCAAACGCTTGTACTAACAGCGCTGATGTATGCCAGTATATTTGGAAATGTTTCTGCGATAATTCAAAGACTGTATTCGGGGACCGCACGGTACCACACACAAATACTCCGAGTTCGTGAATTTATTCGTTTTCATCAGGTAATTATGTATAAATATTGAACACACCCTTACATACATATCCTCACAGCATCACACAACAAAGCCAAATTAAATTTGAAAAGAAAAACGTGTGGCACTCGGGGACTGCCGCAGTAAAGTTATTTATATAGCATTTTTTATCAACTTATCCAATTATAATTATTTATTTATGCAGTATTTTTTTTATATTAGTTCAAGTTACACTTTTTGAGCGTGGTGACCGATAGGAAAACAATTTTTTTCTTTTATTGAATAAATAAGAAGTTAGAGTCGTATATTTTAGGTTATTCAGGAATTTTTATAATTGGAACTATAGGTTTATGGTAACTGAAATAAGAAACATAAGGTTGAGACTTGAGATCCTCTAAATATCTGTAAAATACCACGTCAATGGTGGTCCCATATTTTGTTGTGGATTCTTGTGGATCATTATTCATTTTCAAATTTAATTTTTCCGAAACAAAATTTGTCAACCGCTCTAATTTTTTATCAGCGAAGTTGATGTTTAAGGGTCTACTCACACTTATTCAGCTCTATTCAGCGTTTTTCGATAGAAAACAACGATTTTCTATGGAGACGCGTACGCATCCATTCATCTTTCCGCGTCAATTCAGCTTTCGCGGCAAATCAGTATAAAATGAGGATAAATGTGTTTTTAGCATGCGTCTGCTATAGAATGCGTTCAGCGCTGTTCCGCCGCATTCAACGTCGAACGCTATGATGGCTTTTCTCATTCTTACAACGCCGTACGCGGCTGATAGAAGCAGAGCTGTATAAATGTGACCAAAATCGTTCAGCGAAACGCGAATGGAGCTGAATAAGTGTGTTTAGTTCCTAAATCGCCAGCTAAGATAAGTGGAAATTTATTAACATTTGTACCAAGTATTTTCGACCCTTCTTCAGTGTACTCCAGTAAACGCGTGCCGGCTGCACCGGCCGCGCTTTCGCCACGTCACCGATCTCGTCAGAGGGATGTGAGACGCAGTATGCGTTCTGTCCCGCTCTAACGCGTATTGGCGGCACCTATATTACGTGATACGTCTTGTGTTAGGTTTTTATTTTCGTTACGGAATTTCTTGACTCGGTCGCCGCGCTCAAAGCCTATGGCAATAGCTTAAAAAATTTACAACGGCAAGATAAATCAATCTACCTATATATTACACATGACATTACCACCTTGCAGTTGAACATTTTAATCGCTAAACTAATTAGAATCAATATACATGCCAATTCATTCGTGTTTCCTAATTGAATATTCAATCATCACTTTTTTAATTAAATTTAAAATCGTTCCAGATTACGAACCCACTCCGCCAAAGACTGGAAGAGTATTTCCAACATGCTTGGAGCTACACAAACGGCATCGATACGTCTAGTGTCCTAAAAGGTTTTCCAGAATGCCTCCAAGCTGATATTTGCTTACATTTAAACAGAAACCTGTTAGCTAGCTGTGCAGCTTTTGATGGAGCCAGTCCTGGATGCCTGAGGTATTTAAAGAAGTCTTATAATAATAATTATGAAAGACAAAAGAACAATGTGCCAGTGAGGAATGCTTTCTTGTTTATGCTTTGTTTTGACTCCAGCAACTGAGGCCAAACAACGTCTCAGTAGAATGATAACCTCGTCTGTCCAGAGAACCAATTATTACAGGAAACGAAAAGAAAAATTTATTTTCGTCAATGTTCGTCAATGTTCGTTAAAATATTATTATCATAGATTTATATCGTTGGATAGACCCTTACCGCAGTGAGACCGCGCCGTGTTGTTCCACAGTCGAAGTGAGTGAGCTCACTAACCTGGGATCAGTGCACCCCTAAACACAGTGTTAGCCGGACGTGTTGTAAAGGACGTTTGCGAGCAGTTTAGTGTCACAAAATGCCATCGTGTGCCTTTCTAAAGTGCAACAACAATTCTAGAAACACAAATAAAGCCAGAGGTGTAACATTTCACTCGTAAGTATTGCGATTTGATTTAAAAACTTTTATTTTTCCTTCCGCACTGTCTAAAATAACAAATTTAAATGGCGAGTGCACGAAAGAGAAAGTAGTGTTTGCAACTAATGTAGGAGAAAAAGAGATGACACTATTTTCTCAGTACATAAGTAATAACAACAGATAAGTACAATGGCAGAAACACGATTTTTTATCTACTCGTTAGTGTGCGTGTGTCGGCATTTTGTTAACGCACACATTCAAAAACAATGCCACAGTTTTTGGTGTCGGGGCCTATCTAACGATATCAATCTATGATTATTATGTGTTTTTGGCCATAGTTTTGGATGGTAAAAAGGACTTATTTATTAATAACATAAATAAGTTATTACTTCATGATTATACCAGTTAAATGACATATGAGTCTAAGAATAAAAAATAAATGGTTTTTTGACATACGAGGTCATCATTTTACAGTGACGACAAGGTTTCTGCTATTCTTGTTGTGGTAATGTTAAATTCTTGCTTATTTTAATTATTTTGCTATTCTAAAGCTTATAAAGTAATTATGATGAAATATATAGATGAAGACAGCATAAGATAGGTTGATAGCAAGTCTGTGGTTGCCGATAGCTTTGAAAATGTAAAAAAATGCCATCAAAACAGCAATCTCGCAACTTAATTTTTCTAACGTAAAAAGTTGTGAGATCTATGTAATACCAAGTCGGTTAATTATATCAGCCCTGACTGCATAAAAGATTTTTAATTGATATGATTTATCTTATGTAGGGACAAGAGAAAATCTGTCTTAAATCTATAAATATATATAAAAATGTTATGTTGGTTTGATCCGATCGAGCGATCGATCTGAAAATTTCGCATGATATATAATCTGCATCAAGGATTGTTTTTTTTTCTTTTTTTTTCCCCACAAGTATTGCAAACTTAAACTTATATGAAATGTATTCTTTGTTTTGTTTCTCATTTCTCAACCATTCAATCACAATGTGTCACTGCGAAGCGTGGCAGGGAACAGCTAGTTATAACGTAATTAGCTAACCTAACAACATCTTATAGTGAGCATATCAATATTAAAAATCATTTGTTCAGTCACAACTTTTTACGTTATAAATAAAATAAATAAAATAAAAAATAAATAAAATATTGTTACGAGCTAGGGGATCGGATAGAAAACGCCGTAGATTTCTTCAAGGGTTTATTTTCAATTAAATCTACGAGGAATTTGTTAACACTAAAAACTGGAAATTACGCACAATAATTCACTAAATACACACACAAAATACTGTCACTAATTACTCTAATTACACGCACTTCACACAGTACTTGTATTCACTTGTCTTCACTATATTCACACTTTTTCACTCCGGTGTTTATCTCTTGATATCGCATTCAAGACTGAAGTAACTGATTTTTTTTTTTTTTTTTGAGAAAGGAATCTCGCTGTTGGCCTTTAGGGCCTTGACAGCTCAGCTCGGGCTGTTTTGGCGAGCGTAGCTCGACCAGAATGAGCGTTTTTCCCGCGACTAGCGCAAGGGCGTCTCCTGTGAGACTCGAACCTCGGCTTGGGCCGTCACGGGGTGGTCAATCGCCTGAAGGGCAGGACGGAAACTCACTGGAGTGAGCGAAGTGCGAAATAAAGGTCCTCGCCTTCCCCGGTGAAGGCGGTTTTTAACCCTAATCTGTGTCTGAATACTTTGATTGTTATTATTTGCCGCGCGGGCGGCTTTTGATTTATTGTTTGCTACAGTAATTGGATCATCCGGATCCGTTAGTGTGTGTCGGGGCCTCCTATGACATTTTTTAGCCGGCGGGAAAGGATAATAGTTGATGCTTTTACGCACCAAAGGGTTGGGATGGTGTTTAGCCTTGTCGAAGTGGCGTGCGGACGCCAACTTCATCCATTGGGCTATGGTAGGGAGCTCCAGGTCGTGGTGGAGATCGACGTTTCTCACATAGAGGGGCGCCCCGGTCGCAACTCTCATGAATCGCATCTGAAGCGCCTGTAGCCGGTGGATGTAGGAGGGGGCACAGTGCGCAAATACTACGCTAGCGTATGTCATGCACGGTCGGATGCAGGCCTTGTACAAAGTCACCTTATGTCTAAGGGACATGTTACTCCTTTTGTTTAGGAGGAAATAGAGGCGAGAGAGGACGAAAGAGGCCTTCTTGCGAACGGCGGCTACATGCTTACGGAAAGACATGTCGCTATCGAGCGTTACTCCTAGATATTTGACGGATTTTTGCCACGGGATGGCTTGCCCGTATAGGGTTACCTCTTTTTTGAGGCGGAATTTTTCCCGAGAAAGAGCGTTCGCACCGGGGTTACCCCTGGCAAAGAGAACTGCGACGCTTTTCTCGGGATTTATTTGGAGGCCCCATTTCCGAAACCATTCGCCTAGCGACGTGATAGCGGTCTGGAGTCTATCCACGATGACACCTCTGTCCTTGTGAGTGGTATAGAGAGCGGTGTCATCAGCATAGAGGGCTAGTTCCACGTTAGGAGCCCTAGGAATGTCGCCTGTAAACAGCGTGAAAAGAAGGGGCGAGAGGACCGAGCCTTGAGGGACTCCGGCCATGATGGGTCTAGGGGACGATAACGTCCCTTCAACACGATAGCGCATAGAGCGGTCGGACAAGAAGTCGTGTATTATACGCACGAGTCTTAATGGCACTTGAAGGTGGTAGAGCTTGTAAACCAAGCCGTTGTGCCAGACCTTGTCGAAAGCCTTCGCTATGTCTAAGAAGAGCGCACCCGTGGCTCTTGGTCTCGTGGTGCTGTTATTCAGCCCGGAAAGGATGTGCTCCGTGATTCGATGGACTTGGTGGACGCACGAGTGGCCTGGTCTAAAGCCAAACTGCTCATCGGGAATGAGCCCCTTTTCTAGGGCAAAGTCTAGGAGGCGCTTTTTAACTACCTTCTCGAATAGCTTGCTTAGCGTGTTGAGAAGGCTGATAGGGCGGTAACTGGTGGGATTGTTACGGGGCTTGCCTGGTTTGTGAATACCAATTACAATAGCCTCTTTCCACTGCGCCGGGAAGGTGCAGTTTTCGAGAAGGCAATTGAATATGGCCACTAGTAAGCATATCAGATGGGGCGGGAGGCATCGTAAGACCTTGTTTGAGATGGCGTCGAGACCTGGTGATTTACGAGGCAGTGAACCCTTGATTAGAGTTTTGACCTCGGCGATCGACGTAGGAGGGAGCGGCTCGGGAGGGAGGGGCAGTGCGACTATGCGTTGGACTTCGCGGTTCACGTGCTCAACGTGCGCCGGGTCGCTATGGTCGAGATAAGGCGTGCACTGCTCTACTAGGTTTACGGCTAAGCACTCGGCTTTTTCGTCGTCATCGAATGCGTCAGGTTGATTTGGACGTTTTAGCGGGGGCATGGAGGCCACCGTGTCGGTTTTTAGGGAACGCGCGAGAGACCAATAGGCCGTGTGCGAAGGTGACAATTCGCTGGTAAGACGGTCCCAGCGTTCGTTTCTAATTTCCCGTATGCGCTCTTTAACTCGGCGCTGCGCGGCGCGGAGTGCTCTACGGTTATCATCGGTCGGTGCCCTAGCGAAGGCGCGAGTCGCCGCGTTCTTCTCGGTCAGTAAGCGCCTTGCGTCCGGGGGAAGCTCCCAACGTTGAGCGAACTCATCTGGGACCTTCCGGGACGATTCGGCGACCTTGGTCTGAATGTGATATGTGACCGAGGAGAGCGCGTCTAACGCGTGAGCGGACGAGACTAAATTGTCGGGGATGTTATTAAGGTCAGAGACTTCGACGGGCTTGAGGGCCTCGTCTAGTTTCTGCCAGTCGACAATGGACTTGTACCTCTTCTCTTGGGTGTTAGGAGGGCCGAATTCAAAATGAACCGGGAAGTGGTCAGAGTCTAATTCGTGTAGCACCTCTATGCTTCGCGGCTGTAGTGCCACGTTGCGTAGAATCGCCACGTCTAGAACGTCCGTTGAGAGAAGACCGTTACAATTTATACCGCGACGAGTCGGATGAATGGGGGCAATGACATTAAAATCGAGTACGTCAATAAGCCTGCTGAGGGCTCGCCCATTAGGGTTTTGTTTTGAGCTATTCCAGTCCCCGTGTTTGCTATTCAGGTCCCCGGCCAGTAAGACCGAGGGGCCCAGTGCAAACAGGGTCCTAAGATCGCTCTCTAATATGTCCTTAGTGGGAGGGAGGTACACCGATGCGATGATAATCGGCTGATGACCGGTCATAGCCACGCGTAACACAGAGCACTCTATGTTGATTAGGGAGGGCGGGTCTAGCGGCGAGCAGTGAAGCGCACGTCTATAATAAATGAGCGTACCGCCTTTCGCCGTAGGTCGGTCGTTTCGCACCGCGACGTAGTTCGCGAATCTAGGTGCGCGAACGCTGGGCTTTAGGAACGTTTCCTGTACTAGGAAAATATCAATTGGGTGGCGAACGAGGAAATCCCGAATTAAATCTGACTGTGGCTTGAAACCGTTCGCGTTGAAAGTCACTACGGACAGTGATCGAGCCTTGACCCTAGACGTGGTCGTAGCTATTGCGGTGCGTTAGAGTTTACGAATTGCCGCACGGATTTAAGGAGCAGGGCGTGCTCGGTTATTACCTCCACCTTGGTGGACGCAGTTTTAGCGGATTTAAAGGCTTCCGCGAATGCGACGAGTGCGTCCAAGTCTATAGCGTCTATTACGCTAATCGCGAGATTAAAGGCGTCGCGGACGTTGCCTGATTCCTCAGATGCCTTCACGGGAGGGCTGAGGGCTTTGGTAGGAGGGCTCGCATTTGATGTGGGCCTCTCTTTTAAGATAGGGGTTGACGCAGGGACCTGGGAAGGCGCTGCGGTTGCGGGTTTAGATGGCAGAGGCGGGAAAGCTTCTGTCGTGAGTTGGGGAGGGCCCTCCGTAACGGGGGGCTTGGCCCAGGGACTGATTTCGGGAGGCGGGGCCGGCACGTATGTGGGCTTTGCTCCCGTGCCACGACGGGCCGCATCGCGTCCCACCATGCGCCTAGCCGGCGGCTTTTGCGCCTTTGGGGCTCTAGGACAACCGCGATAATTCGCAGGGTGTCCATGTTGCCCGCAAAGCACACATGCCGGCGGCTCGGCACATGGAAGAGTGCGCTTGCAGTCCGATGTGCCATGGTCGCCTAAACACTTGACGCACCGCGCCCTAGCAAAACAGTTACGGGCTGCGTGCCCGTAGAGTTGGCAGCGATGACACTGCCGTGTGAAGGAATGTTTGAGGGGAGTTTCAACCCTCAACCCCGAGAGCTTACAACACTCCCTAAGGTTAAAAATCTTTTTCCCGCTCGGAGTAGGGTCTAGGACTACTAGTACCATATCGTACTCTTCTTTGGTGGTGCGGTTTAACATACGGAATACATCCCTTACGGGGTATCCCTGTTCGGTCAAATCTAATTGGACGATCCCGGAGTCTATTTCCTTCGGGATGCCCTTAATGACTACCCTAAGGACGCGTTCCTCGGGCAGGGGGAAAGTATGACCACCGATACCTTCGGAGCGAAGGTAAGAGGTAAGGAACCGGTGGTGCTCAGGTGAGGACACCTGTATGCAAATGTTATCCCTCAACGTACGGGCTTTATAACTAATCGACTTAGTGTCGAGAAGCTTTGAGAGGGTGGGCCATACGCCCTTGTCCCTAACATAGACGGGCGGGGGGTTTTGATGCGATCCGCCGCGGGGGCGGAGGGCGCAGGTTTGTCCGATAATAACGAACTTAAGTCCCTCTTCGGAGGGTTTGTCGGCTGTGTAGGCCTTTTCGCGGGTGGACCACCGTTGGCCGAACGCTTTTTCTTACGTCCGACGGTTTGGAATCCGTCGGATTCCGAGGATGAAGATAATACGGCTTCGTCAACCGTTTCCGCCGGAGCGGATTGGGCCGACATTGCCGACAAAGGACGCGCTAGATCCGTCTCCCCATCGCTTGCGCTTCCCACTTCAGGGAGTGGTGAGCGCGAGCGCGAGCGAGCACGGGATTGGTCGGTTAGTAAAATGCTATTATTGCGCGGTGCCTTCGCGGAGGCATTTTTTCTCGTCTTACGCGGCGACGGAGACGGCGAACGGGGTGAGTCAGTGCACTCTGACTCGTAAAAGCTTTAATAGCGTCAGGAAAACGCTCTTTTAAAAATGAAAATATTTTATTTAGATCGGGCGGTTGAACCTCGGACGCCATCCTGTAGGCGGGAAGCCAGACAGTTTGGCGGCGAGTGTGTACCTACGTCTAACGAGTGAGTACCTAAGCTGTGGGAAGTAACTGATCGCGTTTCGGCTCGCTTATATATCCCTGGGAATAGTCTTGCAAGTTCGAGAACTCTCTAGGCGCTATTGAGTAGCGATCGCACAATTCTAGAACGTGCGTACTCGCTATCTCTCTCGCACATTGCTCCGTCCTTGTCGTACGGTGTTCTAGAGTGATCGGTCTAGGTTCGAGAAGGTTCCGATCTTCCGTCTCTAGAAAATTCGTTCTAGACATTCCTTCATCAAAAGGGTATAACCAGGCCTAAAAACGCCTGAAAACGGGTTTCCTGAAAAGTGTACCACTCGACTACAAGGCTTGTTCTGAAACGGCCTGAAAAAATGTTTCAGCCTCCTGAAAACTAGGGTAACATTCTGTAAACTACGATTTTCTAATATGTGATTGACCCTCCCCTGAAACGGTCAGAAATCACATTTCAGCCTGCTGAAAAGTTCTCTAAGTAGTGGAAAAATCAAAAAAACATTGCAGTCCACCCGTCTTCGTAACAATATGTTTATTATGGAACATAAGATACAGGTATCACTTATTCTACGTCATTAAATCTCATCGGTAGACATCCCTACTCGTCGGCAAAGAAGACAGAGCGTGTAGGCCGAGAGAAAAAGCCGGCGTAAAAAAACTCTCGGTACTCTTATAAAATAGCAAATCATCAAACAACACTTATTTTAAAACAAATATCGCAAATTAATTAGAAGTAGCCTGTCTAGCACCAGTCCCAGGCCCTTTTATCAACTAGATAATTGTCAAATAGGTTGACATGTCAATCGCACTAAACAATCTAATTTAATATTTATTTATTTATTAAGGAAACTAAACAGATACATCTCTACACAGTAAATAAAATAAAAGTAAAACATAAAATAAACACATTGGACATATCCACAAAAAGTTTCACTGATAAAAAATACAATACAAAGTAGAACAAGACAAAACATGACAGCACAAAATTTATAAATTAGGAGAACGACAAACAAACTAGCAGCTATATAAAAAAAGCAAGGAAGATAAGACATTAAGTGTTTTAACTTATTCTTAAACGAAGCAGTAGAAGAGTGCGAAAAAGGATCAATGTTAGTGGCAGAATCCAAGGCAGAACACATCCTGTGAAGAGGCTCACGGAACTCAATGTTGGTTCTGGGAGTCGGAAGGTTAAAAGTTCTATGCGAGCGCAGAGATCTGAAATATGTATTACTTGTGAGATATATTGTCTTTTCGTGGGATGGCTATGTCAATCTATATTGTATATGTGCTATATGATATGATACATTTAACAAAATAAACATGAGTGAATTTGTTACAATAACAACAACATTTAGTGACGCTATAACTTGAGGACTGGGCATCAGATTTCTGTATTTGTTTCATGATCATTTGTCAATCGGTTTTGTATCACCATACCACCTCGCTCACATGTCACCTTCTATTTAAACAACTTAAATTTTCTAACAATGAAAGGTCGACAAAAATTGTATTTGGCTTGTTTATTATTCGAGGTAGTATATACTAAACAACTTGAATATTTGTACAAAAAGCTCCTCTGGCGTAGTAATGCCAACAAGCACCAAGTCAGGAGTTGTACTCAGGAGCTGGCCAATCCCCAGCATCGGACGGCTTCATTTCGTGGGAGTTTTAAATATAGCGCGACGAAGTGTTGGAATAATATCCCTCCTCCGCTGAAGAGTCTTCAATTAAAGTCGAATTTTAGTCGCAGTTATAAGACACATCTACTTACTCAACAAAAGTCCCACGAAATTTAGTTTTTATCCACCCAAAAAACAAAAACTAAAAAGTTCTACTTATTTACAATTATTCTTATTTTTAACTTTTAATTTTATTTATTTATTATACACACGATTTTCATTACTCACACTTCTAACTTTTATATTATTATTATTATTATTATTTTCTACTTGGTATTATTATTATTTTATTTTATTTTATTGGAGGCGCAAACTAGCTGCTGTGGTCTCTGGCAGAATGACCAGCGCTGTGGAACTTTTTGCTCCTCAGCATAATGCTGAGCCAGGGCCAATTACAACCACAGTACACACACATTGCACACTTGAAGCGAACCGAATGGGAAAAGGGAATCTTTGATTTTGATTTTTATTGTTTTTGATGTCTTATTTTATTTTTTCTTTAAGTATTGTTATTTTGTGTGTTTATGTGTGTGTGTTTTCGTTTGTAATAAATGTTATGTCTATGTCTAATCTAATAGGCAAGTAAGTGATCAGCCTCCTGTCGAGTTTTTGGGTCGAAGGCAAGCCGGTTTCCTCACGATGGTTTCCTTCACCGTTCGAGCAAATCTTAAATGCGCACATAGCAAGAAAGACTATTGGTGCACAGCCGACCTCAGGGATGACAATCGCACCCTGAAGCCACTAGGCCAACACAGCTGTGTATTTGTTACACCCGTAACGATATGCTATAATATAATTATTTTAATTTCAGAGCATTATCGTTGCGATTCAAGACGACGCACGCGCCTCCTGGCGAGACTTTAGTTCACAGAGGCGATGTACTCACTTCACTGTATTTCATATCTCGAGGCTCTATTGAGATATTAAAAGACGATATTGTTATGGCTATCTTAGGTTGGTTATTTTATTATTAATGAAATCAAATCATTTATTCAAAATTATTTATTCATTTAGGTAACACAATGTACACTTATGAACGTCAAAAAGAAATACATATTAAATGTCCATATTTTATTCAAATGGTGTATTAGAAATACGCTTAAGAAGAGAGGCTGATGTTTTTCATAAAATGATTACTATTATGACTTTTAAACTTGATTTTACGAATAATTTTTTTGGAAAACCGACCGCACCATATAATACACAGCAAACCTACCCAAACGCACTCCCTTCACCCAGCGCTTTTTCTCCTTCAGACGCTTTCATCATTAACCACATTCTTAAAAACAAGATAGAGTCCTTAGTATTTGGTAGGGTCCTTCAAGAAAAGAGCGTACCAATTCTTAAAAGGCCGGCAACGCACTCTCCCACTGGCATTGAGAGTGTCCATGGGCGGCGGTATCACTTAACATCAGGTGAGTCTCCTGCCCGTTTGCCCCCCAGTTCTATAAAAAAAAAATGTGTGCGTGTACTAGGTGTACACACGTAAGAAGTGAAACTTCTTTATGACCTTATTAGAAACTATTTCTTTAAACACAGTAAATTTTGATACACTGCCTAGCATACAATTTACAAATTAATTGCTGCAAATTGCGATTAGCAAATTTCAAGTCGAAAATGTAATCCGTTGTCAAACTTCAAAGTCAAAAACATACTATATGTCATATTTTAACGCCGATAAAGAAGTTTGACTTCGAAAATGTAATCCGTTGTCAAACTTCAAAGTCAAAAACATACTATATGTCATATTTTAACGCCGATAAAGAAGTTTGACTTCAAAAAGCAACATGGCGCGTAACGGAAAAATGTGACGCGTAACGCAAAAATGTTACAGTAAATTTTTTTCCAACCCCGATAAAGAAGTTTCACTTCAAAAAAATGTTCACTATCGATTCAATACTTTATACATTAACTAACAGTCTGAAACATCTTCTCAACCTGTCCTATGCTGAAACCGAACGTATTCTTCTTGTGGTACAGTTGTTTAATTATGTATGTTATGAAGAAATTATTACGTCAAGTATCAAATATTTCAATGCCACCAGCTGTCCACGACACAGAGATATGATAGAGGACAAATCTTTTTTTTTAATTTATTTTATTATTATTTATTACTTAAGATGTCATGTGGAACATGGTGTAATGGTTGCAGCTCCTTACAAACGTTGTGTAAAAAAAAAATTGCCGATTAAAAAGAGTGTCGGAGAGTTTATTGCCAGTCCTACGCCCTTGCTCTAAGAACTGGCGGTAAATGTAAAATTAGAAGCATTTAATGTATATTTCTTTTTTGACGTTCATAAGTGTACATTGTGTTACCTATATGAATAAATGATTTTTGACCTAGACTTTGCTAGTGCACTTTCTTTTTAACAAAACATTTTTATCATGTAATAAAGTTTCTTTCTTTTCTCAAATATTATCTTTTACGGTGTCAGGTGAAATAGTTTTGATTGACATTTAGGTAAAGACGACATCTTTGGAGAAAATCCGTGTACGCATAGCACAGTGGGCCGGAGCAATTGCAGAGTGCGAGCTCTTACCTACTGCGACCTGCATCGCGTACATAGGGACGACCTTCTGGACGTCCTGGAGTACTACCCCGAGTTTCGTGCCACGTTTGTCAACAGTCTGGAGATAACTTTTAACATGAGAGATGTAAGTTTTTAACCTTAACTTTTAATTAGTTAAGTTTAACGCAAGTGTGTTGACAGCAGAGGCAGACTTGATTGCTGTCACAGAGACAGGCTGTAATGAGTCAATAGCTGATTCTGAGTTGGTTCCAATAGGCTTTACTATACTACGATGTGATCGCGCGGACTGGCTGAATTCACAAGAATTTCATTATTTATAATTAGTTATAAAATGGTTTAGGTTTTTAAGTTTTTACTTGTTATGTTTATATTATGTTTTACGTTAGTTTTCTATTGTATTAGTATTAAGTTACTGTAAAAATAGGAAATAAGGAAATAAAAGAAATAAAAACAAATAAAAGTTTTTATTATCAAGAGCTATTGTCTAAGGCATTGATAGATAGACATACACGGCTATATATTTTTTGCTCTCAAACATCCCACATGTTTTAAGGAGATAAGGAGGAAATGATACTGATGTCTCCCATGTGCAGTGTTGGACTAGTCGCTTCAGTGTGCGACGTCCTTCAGGTCGTAGGTTCGATCCCCGGCTGTCCACCATTTAACATTCGCTCGAACGGTGAAGGAAAACATCGTCAGGAAACCGGCTTGCCTTAGACACAAAAAGTCGACGGCGTATCAGGCACAGGAGGCTGATCACCTACTTGCATATTAAATTGACAAATGAACACGACACAGATACAGAAATCTGAGGTTCTGGCGCCACTGATTTATATTATATTAATTTAAAAAATAACACACAATTCTATAATTAATTGTCAGTCATAACAGCACGCCAAACTTATAGCCGCAAAGAATTATAGTTCAAAAAAATCTGTGGCTACAACCTCTTTAGGTCTGGGCTTCAGATTTCTGTATCTCTTTCATGTTCATTCAATCTAATAGGCAGGTGATCAACCCCCTGTGCCTGACACACGCCGATGACTTTTTGGTTCTAAGGCAAGCCGGTTTCCGCAAGATTTTTTCCTTCACAGTTTTAGCGAATGTTAAATGCGCACATAGAACGAAAGTCCATTGGTGCACAGCCGGGGATTGAACCTACGACCTCAGGGACGAGAGTAGCACGCTGAAGCCGCTAGGCAAACTCTGTTCATTAGGAGTTATATTTATTTATATTTGTATTTCCAAACTTGAGGAGTCAAGGTCGTCCCTTTACTTAAATGTCTCTAATCCTAAGAGTGAGTGATCCCCCCTTTTGGCCTCTCTCCTACAAAAATCCTAAATATATGTTACAGGACGAGTTGAGTGGAATAGAACCCAAACGGCGAATGCGCTACGAGAATCCAAATGAGGCGCGGCTATTACGAGAAGCCTACGCCCGAACAACCCGACGGCCACATACAGAAACCTTCGCTGATAAGGTATTTTTTTTTTTATTGAGAAAAAGCTTGCCAACGCTTGGCACACTGAGACATTGGTAAAAACAAACACAAAATACAATTTTTAATGTGACAAGCACTTATAGGCAAACATAGCATACATATAGAGATTATTAAACAAAACAAACATTACAAAAAAAAAAACAAACTAAACAAAAATCCATTTTATACTGTGTAGGACGTAGGTATAAGGTATAAAACCTTTTTATTTATAATACATATATATGACGGTGGAACACAAATTGGTCAAAATTTCCCCGTCTACAGAAGCGCCGACATTCACAATAGTATTATAATAATAGCAAACAAAGATCAACAGACCAATATACAGTATTTACAATATTCTAAACCTACATAGTAATAATAATAATTAAAAATAAAACAAATTTATAAAGTTTGGTCTGTGGCAGTGTACCTTTAATGCTGGCAGTATTTTCTCTCTGTATTTTGATAATTATTCGTAGAGGAAAGCACCAGCTCTGGGGTCACCGGTAGTACAAGTAGCGGAACGAAACTCTAGCGCTGACCGTTATTGCGCAGAAGTAAAAAATAAGGTACCTGAGGGGGGCTAGCGGAATGAAGAGTTTCGATTGGCTCTCCAGTGGCATTCCGTCCCCCGCGCGACAGTACACATGCGCAGCAATCCCCTCCACGTATCGGCCAGCGCTAGACTTACGTGCCGCTGCCTATACCAGGCGTCAACTTCTGTAATAATTATGTACACTTGAACCGCTCGGCCCAAGAGTCTCTTCTACAATGGGAACAAAATCAAAGTCGGAGGAAAGATTTATATTCGAGCCGTTTATTAATATCCGTCTGCTCTCCGGTCGCGCCAGATTTTTTTCTTGTCCGAGGGAGGTGAGACGGGGCGGGGCTACTTGTCCACACAAGTATGGGCGGCGGTATCACTTAACATCAGGTGAGCCTCCTGCCCGTTTGCCCCTGCACTAAAAAGGGCAAGAGTTCTCCAAGAACTCGGGTTCGAACTCGAAACTCGGGAACTCGGGCTTTATATGTTCGTAGAGTGAGTTCACAGCAGCGATAATGTGTGTTGTATTATATCTTTAATAATATTTTTGTTTTCGACATTATCGTATTGGTTTAGTATTTATAGTGAATAAATTATGTAACTATATAAAGCCGATTGCTGGCCATGCGTCATACTAGTGACTTTGTATTTGCGTGTTGTTCCTTAGAATGTAAGTGCGTGCTCCTATTTCACCATGCCTCCTGCTAATATAGGACAAACCTTTTTTTTTTAAATTTATTTTATTATTATTTATTACTTAAGATGTCATGCGGAACATGGTGTAATGTTTGCAGCTCCATACAAACATTTTGTGAAACAAAAACTTTGCGATTGAGAGTGGCGAGAGTTTATTGCCAGTTCTTCTCGTTCGTTCTCCGCCCTTGATTTTAGAACTGGCAGTAAATGTAAAATTAGAAGCATTTAATAGGTATTTCTTTATTAACAAGTCATAAGTGTACACTGTGTTACCCAAATGAATAAATGATTTTGAATTTGAATATAATCACAGGATTCCCAATGCAGCGACGAGGATACAGAGTCGCCGCCCAGTAGAGGAATTTTGGAGTTTTCTACTGACAAAGCAGGCCAGGATGTTACCCCACTAAATTTTAACTTTAGTAAACAGAGATCAACGACACTTAATTCGATAACAGGTACAATCTTATTAATACATTTGTTTTTCTTTACCGAACACTATTTATACTTTTGATTTCGTTTTGATTTTCGAACTTCAAGAATTGAATATTTTAAAAAATCCAGCGATACGGACCCAATAGAATACAATACGAAACATACAACACCTAAAGAATAAGGAATTTCTATAATAATTTGTGGTCGAAAAATGTGACTTTTTATTTCTTTATTTATTTTACAGAATAATAATAATAAAATCATGATAATATGTTGGAAACTACTGCGTTTTGTATAAATGTATCTAATCATAGCAGGTTTAGGAGAAATGCATATAAAATATTTATTTAACTTTTCGACGGGCCGTCCATTTATTAGCCGCGGTAGCAAATACCTCAATGTACTCTCGTCAAAGACAGGTAACCTGTCCTATAGACATTAGGCCCTAGGGGCAGAGGGCGTCCACAGTGAGTCTCCATCGCGCTCGCCCAACCTTGTATTTCACCTCACTCCGAGTCTTTTCGGCTCTCTTTGATGAGATGAGACCTATGAAAAATGTTGACGTGTGTCAGGCACAGGAAGCCTATCAATTGCCTATATGATTGACAAATCATGAATTAGATACAGAAATCTGAATCCCAGACCTAATAAGGTTGTAGTGCGACTGACTTTTTTTTAATCTTTCTCCCGCGAGCTTGTTGAATATTCTAGATACATACAAAAGTAAACGAACAATATTATGAATCCGATAAAAAATTCAAAATATAAAAAAATATATCAAATGGGTTTTAGTTTTGTAATTACACTTAGTCTACGTTATTATGCTTTCTCCTTTTCCATTTGGATCTGTTCTCTGCTCCATCTTCATCCTAGAAACCTTTATACTGTCAGCCTATCGCTTTTGTGGTCTTCCCTCGTGTCTTTTTCCGTAGGGCCCAACAGCCGTCCATCTTTTTTATGGACACATTGCAATAAATAGTGTTCGGTAATTTTATTAGTGTAGTTGCAGATAGACTAAGAATGTGCATATCTCCCAGAAAACCTTTTTTCTATATTTTTTATAAAAGAGTGATTTAATATTTGCGATTCAAGCACACGAAAAATGTAATGCTTTTTATAAGATAATCATAATTCATACAAAATACAAGAGACTTTTTGCAGCATGTGGAATGCTTTAACCCAAATTTCCTGAATGATATGTGAGGATGAGGATTTTATGATCATTTTCAAGTGCTGGTACTCTATCTGAGGTTTGATTTGGTACTAAAGTGCTATTTCGAAGTATTATGAGGTCTTTTGACTATTTTTCTTTTCTTATTTTGAATTGAAATCGGGGTCCGAAGAAACATTGCTAATACTCAATTAAAGGAACACGAAACACGTTCGAAATTTAAAATTACACTGCATTGTTACGTCAGAATACATAGTATTGGACGATTAGTTCATATGAAATTCAAAAATATACCGCAATATTACGACAGACAACTTAACAATATTGGTCGAGTATTTCATTCGAAATTCAAAAATACACAGCAACATGCGACAAAGCACTATTAAATATTTCAATGGAAATTAAAACTTAATATATTATAGCATTTTGATTTAATTCCCTGTTGGAGAAAATACACTTCCCAACTTTATAAATAGTTTAGTATATGAAAACGTCATATCTTCCTCATCGTCATGCTCTGAGCGCGGCCCTTGTGTGCAGGCATGCTTGCGCACTTTAAACGGAGCTTCCCAGACCTCTACCATCATAAAACACACCAGCCGCTGCATAACAAGTACTGTAAGTATACAATCTATATAGTGCATGTTTACATTTGAAATGCTTTTAAATTTCCACGAAAAATTTATCCGCAGTGCGGTTAAATGGCGGGTTTTATCGCTTTCGAAAATCAAAGCGGCATTGTGGATTTTCCTGCGAGTACCTATTAACCAACAAGTTTTAGCGTCTATATCAATGCTTGCAATTATATATAAATAACGTGTTTCCTTGAAGCTTTCGCGTATCACGGGAAGAAATCACATTGCAATCGACCTCATATTTAACCAATTATCAAAGCTCCTACTGTTCGTTTATCTTCACCTTCATATTTGCAGCGCAATCTACTCCGCAAACGTACAGAGGCCGAGGTGCTGTCAGACGTCAATCTTCTGTTGGGCCACTGAACGACACGTCTCCTTTAACATCAGCTGCTGCAGGGGAGGCAGCAGTTAGCACTCCAGCACATAGTACAACCCTCCCCGTATCCAGCCTCAGCACAAATCCTAGCTCCTATTACACAAATGCGTCTCCTAGCCCGCCAACACCGGCTCCGGTCCATGTATCCTGTGATGACATTCTGGCACCATCTGCTCAATCCGTTGGAAGAACTCCTTCGTCTCGGTCAGCGCCACACTCAGCTATCAACTTGCATATGACTGGACGACCGACAGCGCTACTCTTTAATGGAGATAAGGCGCAAAATGGACAGGTACAGAAGTGCTAGCAATTAATGATTGAAATTAAAAAGGATTAAGCCAAAATTCATTGATTATATTGATACGTTAAATCGTGTAGCTTCTAGAAGATCTGCAGGTTTGGAGTAAAGAAAAGTTAAAGAGAAAAACACTGTTTTAAAATTTAATATTCATATACCACTATAGATTTTACTAGTTCAGAGACCATTAAATTCCAGGATACGGTATCCCCGCAGTACCAAAACGTTGGATCAGCCACGGCTGCCTCTGTCACAACCATCCTAACCAGGCTGGAGGAGCTGAGCCGTAGGGTTGCCATGTTGGAAAATGGGTTAACAGCTGATGTGCGAAGAATCCTTCAGCTGCTCCAAGCCCGAGAACTGCCACACCACAATTCGGCACCAGCGCACACTCCAGCACAGCCTTTGCCTAAAGCCTCGCTTTCGGTGCCACAGAATCATGACGTACGTATTGTAAAGGTTGAATTAATATTTAAATTTCGCGCCAAATGTCACACAATTGAGTATATATTGTTTTTGCTCTGTTCTCTTTGTTCACGGGTTTATTTATTTATTTCGTAATTTGTATTTTTTGCATAGTTAGTGTTGATTTGAGGAACATATTCATCCAATGTTTGCCAGCTACCCTTTCAATCTCGTCGGCCCACTCTTTTGGTGTCCCCTTTTGAGCCAGTTCGGTTACCATTTCTAACCATCTGCCATCTAATAATAATAATAATAAAGCCCGTTTTATTTCCAATCATGACAAAAAAAAACTAATTATTATACACAGCTTAGATTATTTTACATTTTTATAATTTTTTTTTCTTATGCTTGTTATTCTATATTCTAGCTTCCTTCAGTACCGTCGATCGGAACCCCTTCACGGGTAAAGGCCTCCTCCAGCTTTTTCCAACTGACTCTGTCTATGGCTCTCTTTCTCCATTCGTTTCCTGCTACCGCTTCTATTTCTTCTATCCACCTTTTTCTTGGGCGACCTCTTCTCCTTCTTCCTCTTGGTCCTTTCCATCTGCCATCTATATAACTAAAATTAGATGATGACGATTAATAACGTTCTCCCGTACGGGAGAGGTATATAAAATAATATAGTATAGTAAAATTTTATGTCTGTATATTTATTTTTGTATATTATAAGTAAATAAGATATGGATAAATAAAGAAAAGAAATACCTCCGAGAAGTTAATGAAGTTAAGAAGATTATTAATGGCTGATTGTGCGGATTTTTATAATTAATCAACCTAAATGTACCACTTTCTTTGCAAATAAACGATTTATTTTAATATTGTTTATCAGAATCAATGGGAATGGAGCTGGAATGGAGATCGCGAGCGCAGCAACCGCGTGCGCAGCGAACGGGCGGAGCGCACGCCGGGAGTCCAGCGCTCCGCCTCCGAACCGCACGCACCCGTTCCGCCCGCCCTTCCGCCGCCCCCGCATTCCCACTCCTTTTACAGGTAAGCCCGACCCGTAGATTTATTTATTTATTTATTTTATTTAGATTAACAATAATTAAGAATATTTAAGTATAATTATATTTTTTTTGCTGTGTGTAAAATATTTTTAGTAGTTGAAATTATTTTACTTTTGATAAAAAAAAACAATTAGGTACTCATACCATGAGCACTATCTTTCTTATTTTATTATGCATAACATAGAAACGGATTTATCACCTGTTCGGTTCCTGGGTCAGGGGGATGCTTTAAATAATGGAAAAAAATGTTGTCTGTAACGTCGGTTTACGGACGATAGTGTAGAGGTGTAATTATTGTCTATATAGAAATTTCGTAATTCCATTTGTAATATTGTCGACATATCGTTATTTCGTAATTTCACTTGCACGTGGATAAATCAGTCGCCCTAATACCGCCATGTAAGTCAGAGGACAATAAAGACAACGAATTCTATTCCGGTTTTCATTTGGTGTACCTCTAACACTAAAATAGTTTAACGTCATAAAAAAAACATTGATGAAATGATACTCATTCGCATACTTTTATGAATAAAATTGAATGTATGGATAAAAAGAAGGAGTGAATCCTCGGACGCATAGACTAATCGAGTGGAAGAGAGATAGATGCGGAGCAAGCGTACCATGAGCGCAAGCGTACAACAATGAGCAAATTCAAAAAATCATTTATAAATAAATACATCAGTAGGTATCAAAATGTACACTTATGAACGTCAAAAATTAAATATATATATGAAATGCTTCTCTTCTTTTACATTTACTGAAAGTTCTCAAGTCTAGGGCGTAGAACGGAAGAGGAGAACCGGCAATAAACTCTCCGCCACTCTTTTTAATCGCCAAGTTTTTTGTTTTACACAATGTTTGTAAGGAGCTGCAACCATTATACCATGTTCCACATGGCATCTTAAGTAATTAATAATAATAAAATAAATTAAAAACATAGATTTGTCCTGTATCAACAGGAGGCATGGTGAAAAAAAAACGCACTTACATTCTCTTGGGAACAACACGCAAATACATAGTCGAAATAACAAACATCACCATCGCCATATTTTACTGAGAGAGACAACTTGACGCATTGACGGATGGACGCATGGAGCGTAACGGGACAATGAGTCATGTAGTACAGCCGGCGTTCATCGATTTATTAGACGTTGTCACGTCAATATAATGTACACCTATTTTTTATTGTTGGAAGTTGCTATTAGTGCTATGAAAAGCGTATAAAAATGCTATGCAGAGTGTGGACGATCGATTTTGCTTTCTACTTTTAACTCCCGACTATTTAGGTAATCGCCACGCTTATAAATCTAAGAAAACTTGAGTGAACAAAATGTACATCGCCCGTCTTAATAGATGCCGTGCGATTCTGTAACTCACTTTTGGAACTCACACAGCGGTTTTCACATCGGCGGTCGCTCTCAAATCAGTCGTGAAGCAGTCGTTTTATGATTTGGCATTTTAATAAACAATAAACTACAAGCTCCCACCTTTTCAGAATGCCAAATCATAAAATGACTGCTTCACGACTGATTTGAGAGCGACCGCCGATGCGAAAACCGCTGTGTGAGTTCGAAAAGTGAGTTACAGAATTGCAGGGCTGGTTGGATCGGCCCGTAAAACATTTGTTTTTTTACATACAATATTATTGATATATATATTTAATCTACATATTTATCTATTTAATTATTTGACAACAATTTATTATAGTAAAAGTTTTGGAGACCCTTTTAAATAAGAAAATATCCTAGGTTTTCCATAACAAAATATTTGAAAATTTATTTGGTTGTTGCATAAGGTGATTAGGTTTTTGAAGTCAAGGTGCTTCTATAGCGTGACCGAATATTTAGAACATAAATTTAATAACGTATGATATAATATGTACAATAATATAATGATACAAATAATATAAAAACTGACCAATTCATAATAATGTAAAATGTAAAATTCCTTTAAAGACAAATTTGCGCGCCATTGTGTGTGGCAGAATATTCGAACTTACGATACATACGAATACACATTTTTGTACCATATTCTTGCAATAAATTATTATTATTATTATGCTTATAAAATAATATCATTGTTTTTTTATTTAAAAAATTACTTACTGTGTTTCGTTAACAAATTCGTTACATTGGGGACATTGGGGCATAAGAATTTTAGAAAGGCTAAGGTGAGGCATGGTACAAAAAAGGAAAAGCATTGCTACAGAAGTCTGGGTCAGTACAAAAAAGAACAAAAGAGTGCAAGTGATTTGTTACTATTTATAATTGGTAATGTTTTTATATTTTTAAAGTTATACATCTTTTGGCGCGTTAGGGAAAAATTATAAGAGGAAATTTTTACTATGCGCCCGCACAGCGTCACAAAAAACCAACACCCCGAAGTTAGCTATTGTCAACACTTTAGTTTTTTCTATACTTAGTGTAGTTTTTTCTACAAACGTACAATAAAAAATTTATCTTGTTACGCCAAAGAAGTATAACTTCTAACGCGTGTACATAAGTACAGACACGTTTTTTTTATCAACAGGTAGTGTGAGGCAGGCGAGACGAGCGCTTCTCGCTCCCGGCCATCGACGCGCTCGCTCGCTGAGTCCGCGTCGTGCGGCTCGCTGGCGGGCGCCGCTGCCGAGCCGCCCGCCACGCCCAACACACGCCCGGCCTCACGACCGCGGTTCCACTTCTGCCGGCACATCACCAGCGCCCGCGACGACGCATGGACCTTCCTCTAACGATGGACCAATTTTATACTCTCAATGTGCGCTCGTCACCACGATCAAGTGATTATTTTTCCTTTATTTATATAATTATCGCACTTACATGGTTTTCGTTATTTTAATATTTGTAAAAACATCTCAGCGTGCAGGAGTATGTTCAAAAGACTGAGACGTGAACGCCCGTACTAGGCCCTTAGTATGCGATAACATCGAAGTTTTGTTAAAAATTGCACCACAAAATACTTTGAATTTGTGTATAAATTTTAATAAGAAAGTAATTGTCACATATACACCATTTCACGTAAACCAATACGCAGTTTTCAGATGTAATAAATATAATAATAATATCACGATTATTTTGACAATTTGCTTGCATTAAAGTTATTCTCGTTGAATATTCGCTGATTACGTAATAAGGAGCCTTTTCCTAAGGGGTCCAGTAAACGACGGAGTGTGTTCATAACCACAGATTAGATAAAAACAAACACGCACACAGACAAAGAGGACGGTGTCAAAGCTACAAAAAAGTAAATTGTTTTTAAATATAGAACTAGTTTGTGGTCTCAATGGGTGAATCTTCGATGTTAGTTCATACTAAGGCAGTATTACCAGAGCGAATAAACGATAAACGCTTTCTACCCGTCCTTGCTCCTTGCCTTTACAATGTAGCTAGGTAATAAACACTGGTCATGAAGCTCCTCGTGGAAGTGCGTTTATTGACTTTACATATTTAGATAATAAATAGTATTCGAATGCGTGATTTTCCACAGAACATTATGTAAGTTCTGAATCTCGAATAAAATGGGTTGCCAGAAGAAATATTGTCTACGAGCTTTTAGCTTCCTTTTAAGCTAATTGTTACATATTTAGAATATGAAAATAAGGTAAGCTTAGATATTTTAATAATCTGCTTTAAGAATAGCCAAAAAATCTTCACTTATTTTGAACTTGAGAAAATCATTCCCAAACGTAAGTGTAATCAAAAGTTTTCATTAAATAAAACAATTCTCGCAAATCGTTAAAGAGTTATTTCACGTATACAAACTTCAAAGATTTATTTTTTTATCTGGCAACCCGGCTGAATAAATCTATGAAATCGATAGACAAATGCCGTAAAAATCACGCATCAAATCATACTGTACTCAGTGCATCATTATATTTAAGTTTACCCAACTTCGACTGAATGATTATTTAATATTGTCCCTGAACGCGATGGTGGCCCCTAAATTTGTACTTAAATTAATTATTCGGAAACATCTTAAAGCTAAGTATGGCTCAAAAGACTATCAAATAAGATAATGCATATTCTTAGATTAAGACATTTTGCCAATAATAATAAAGTAAGCAATAAGTACCATCTCGAATAAGCCGCGATTTTTCATACCGCAACATTTAAAAAAAAACTCAAGTATTTTAAACACTACATTTAAATTTATGTTTTGACATATCCTATAGCTAAAAGTTGGACAAGTAACAACAAAACACGCTTGACATTTGACGTCTGCGTTAAATAGTTGTACTACTTGTCAGATGTTATATATTTTTCATAGACTGTCAGATATTACGGCCAAATTCATGCTAGATCTACAGAGGCTGTAGTACGTTGACCATGGTTTCACCTAGCATTCGTATACGTAAAAGTAAAGAAAAGAATCGGCTATATATAGTGTATACTAAACATATCCTATTCGACCGATATATTATGACCGTGCGTCCGGCACGAATGCTTGATAAGTTCTATTCAATTTCACGCATCGTTCGTGCTAAAGTCTCTGAAGGGATTGCTAGGTGTGACGTTAGCCAAACTTCAACTGTCAATATCAACGTCCTCATTTGTTATCTATACTCTTATGTTTATCTGTTGACAGATATTAATATAGATTTTAACTTTTAAGTGGTCATTTAACGCACTATACAATAGGTATTTGTTCACATCATAGTTTAGGTATAGTTTTAGTCAATTGTGAAGTAGTTATACATTTTGACTCTAGAATTTGCTGCTTTGCTGTACAAATCTTATTATTCGCCGAGCACATATAGATAATAATTTGCTTATAGACATGTATGCATAGTTCCGTGGATTAATTTTGACATGACTGGTCTTGCCAGTCCCATTCCTATATTATTACTTCACCAAATATTGTTCACAAAACATTCTAAGATCATATATACTTAGATTCCGAAACGGTTATTTGCGATTGTCAGTGTCAAGTGTGACAAATGATTACACAGATTGCATTAATTTGTAATCTGTGTAAAACTCGATGTAAA